AAATTCGCAGTTTGATACAAACTGGTCATAGTGGTGCAAAAGTAACAGAAATTCGTATAAAATACGGATAAATCGTAGTGGTTTGCATCTCTGCCCTTGGTGTCGGGGGACACTCAAGCACCCCCGCGTGTTGTCAGCGGAGAGGGTTCATGTCGATGTTCTCATCCATTCACCCCCCTCCGAAGGACAGCCTCTTGTTTACGCATGGCCGACACTCACTGCACTGGTCTCCCTCGTCTGACGCGTCGCCGCAGTCGTCGTGTCCGTCGCACCACCACGCGTCCGGCACGCACTGCTGCGTCTCGCACAGGATCTGGTTCGCCTCGCAGCCCGCGTACACGCGATCTGTGGAGAGAAGCGATGGATGGGTTAGTCATGGTTAACATAAGTCTCTAACACACTGCTGCGTGTCGCACAGGATCTGGTTTGCCTCGCAGCCCGCGTACACGCGATCTGTGGAGAGATAGCGATTTCGTGAGCTAACTATTGTCGCGTTTATTCACTATGTTTGTCGTTAGTCTCGTTTATTTACTATATGTGGTATTCCTCTTATTTACTTACTATATTTATTATTTCTCTCATTTACTCATTATGTTTTTTATCACTCTCATATATTTACTATATTCATTATTTCTCTTATGTTTATTATTACTTCTATTTACTTACTATAATTATTGTTACTTTTACATATTTACATTGTTTACATATTTACATATTTACATATTTGCCTTATTTACTACTCATTTCACTTTCCCACTCAATCGAGTAAATGGTCATCAAAAAATAAATTTTGAAATAAATTTGTTATCGAAATTTTAACACATTTAAAATTCACTTAAACAAATCAAATTTTAAATTTCAAAAATTTACTAAAAATTAAAAAAAAATTATATTTTAATTTTAAAAGCCTCAAGTGTAACCGACGAACCCAACCCGTACTCTAATCGCACAGCCAAGACATGCGAAAAGTACCGCGATGAGAAGATAGCTTCCTAGAATTTCAGATTTTGAACAAAAACCCACCTGGCATTCTCCAGTAAACAGTGCAGCATGATGCATCACCAACATTTCTGGGTGGAGGTGTCATCAATAATTCCGAGTGGTGGGGGAAATGAGGCTAACAGGGTCGACGAGGACGCGTGCACCTAACAGTAACACACGCTCGTACAGGTGAACTGTCCCCGTCCGTGTGCACCGGAATTCTCTCCAAATTTCTTCAGCTTTCCGGAATCTCTGATTTCGAATGAACCCACTGGGCATTCCCTCCCAGCCAGCCAGCATGCATCACCATAAATTCTAAGTGGGGGGAGGTGCGCGTGTGTGTGTGGTGTGTGTGTTGGGTTACAGGGTCAACAAGGACACGTGCACCCACACTAGTCCAGGTGTACTGCGTCCGTTCGTCTGCACCGGCCGCAGCGGACGCGCTAGGACACGTGCACCGCAGTGATTAATGAGGACGCGTGCACCCACGCCAGGACAACGACAATGACAACGACACAGGTCCTTTGCGCGTGCGGTCGGTGTGTTTGCACCCTCTGCCTCCCCCTCCCCACCCAAGGTCCCTCTCCCTCCCAGGATGTAGAAAGTCATTACAATGGAGGGAGAGGGGGTCAAACTGTGTACCAAGGTATGTTTGCACCCACTGCTCCTCCTCCCCATGTGTTCTCATGAATGCAACTCCCGAAACGATCTGCATGTGGCACAAACAGAGGCCGGGAGTGCTATGGCAACGATTGTGACTCGAGCGAGCGAGCGGACAGAGAGACGGGGATGCGTGCACCGAGCGATCCACGTCACTAACAACAGCTCTAGGACGACGAAGAGGACAGATGCACTTGACACAGGATGCAGGTCGTAGAGGGGGAGACAGATGACAAAGAGAGGGGGAGGGAAAGGGGGAGAGGGAAGGAAAGGGAGGAGGGGGAGGCGAGGGCCGGGGCAGTGCACACCGTCGACAAGATGACAATGAAACGAAGTCGCGGTGTGCGAGGATGCGTGCACAGAGTGATCCACCACACTAACAACAGTTCTAGGTCGAGCAGTAGAAAGAGACAGGTGCACTTGACTCAGTATCTAGTCGTGGAGAGGGGGAGTAGAGCGGAGGGACCGGAATCTAAACCAGGGCAAGCGCACCGGGTTACTATTTCGGGCCACTATTACTATTCAACGAGTTCTGTCGCGTGCCAGTACCAACCGTGTCCGCGTACGAAATGCGGTCAATTCGTGTCCTGAGATGACCTTGAGAAATCGATTACACATTCCGCACTTTGCGTATCGTAAAAGCAACCAGAGTGCAAGGTTAGCAGTGAACGCTCCTAATTTAAGAACTAACTGCTGGGAGAGATATTAGAAAAACTACATGACGGTCGGTGGTCCCGCAGCACAATAAGGCAAGTGTAAAAGGGTGCAATCCCTAAAATGGCTGGGTGGGTGACTCACTACAATAGAGAGAAAAAATTCACAAATGCAGGAAAAGGAGTCACCACAATGGAAGAGAAAGGAGTCACCAAACAATGGAAGAGAAATAGTCACCACAGTGAGAGAGAAAGAGTCACCACAATGGAAGAGAAAGAGTCACCACAATGGAAGAGAAAGAGTCACCACAATGGAAGAGAAAGAGTCACCACAATGGAAGAGAAAGAGTCACCACATGGAAGAAGAAATAGTCACCACAAGTGGAAGAGAAAGAGTCACCAGAATGAAGAGAAAGATCACCACAATGAAGGAAAAGAGTCACACACAATGGAAGAGATAGAGTCACCAACAATGGAAGAGAAATAGTCACCACAATAGAAGAGAGAAATAGTCACCACAATAGAAGAGAATAAGTCACCACATGGAAGAGAAATAGTCACCACAATGGAGAGAAATAGTCACCACAATGAAGAGATAGAGTCACCACAATGGAAGAGAAACAGTCACCACAATGAAGAGAAAGAGGTCACCACAATGGAAGAGAAAGAGCCACTACATAGAGGCAGGATGAATCACTACAATAAAGAGGGAGTCACTACAACGAGGACAATTCACTACAATATACTACGACTACATGATATTGAAGGGAAACTAAAACACTATCATAGAACCCAACAACATTGGCAGCAAGAGCTGCAGGAGGATGTGCAGTGTGTAGGTATAGTAGCTTCACCCCCCCACACAGCATACCACTGCAGTGGGGGGGGGGTGAAGACTCACTACACTACCAGTAGGAGAAACTAACAACAGAGGGAATTGCCGGACGCGTAGTCAGGGAAAAAATGACTTTTGTTTTCACGGGAGCTCTTATTCAAAAGTCTGTGGGAAAAATAGCTCTCAGGCAAAAATTTTACACAAGCTATTTGGAGCCTCACGGCAGCGATTTCGGAGGTTTGAAGAGCGAATCGCTCATCGCTCCCGTGTATTTTTTACCCTGTGTAACAGTTGGCATGGTTGGAGAGACTAACAACAGAGGGAATTGCCGGCAGCACACCTGACGCCTAGTCAGAAAAAAAATTACTTTTTCCCCACAGGAGCTCTTTCTCAGTAAAATATTTTACGCAAGCTATTTTGAGCCTGACGGCAGCGATTTCGGAGGTTTGAAGAGCTCATCCCTTATCGCTTCCCTTGTATTTTTCACCCCGGCATAGGTATAGTAGGTTCGCCCCCAGCAGCAGCAGCAGCAGCAGCTCACCACAGTCCTGCTCTTCGTCGGACCGGTCGTTGCAGTTGTACTCCCCGTCACAGACCTGCTCCAGCGGAACGCAGTGAGACGGCTTGTCCGGGTCCCCACCGCAGCGAAACTCCGTCGCGTTGTCACACTCCTGCCCAAGAAGTATGCGTATATATATATATATATATATATCTTTACACACAAACACACACGCACGCACGCACACACAAGAAGTGTACATATATATATATATATATGCTCTTTAAGACACACCGACAACACGCTCACATGCAAAGCAGAAGACGTACCAGCACGCTAATGAGAAGGTGTTTATTTCATGATAAATCGTAGAATAATTAAGGAAAACCTTCCTTCATTAATTAAAGAGATATTCTTCGAAATATTATAATCATGATCATTGTCATGTAATAGCACCTTAACGAGTAAATTTAATTAAAGATAATATCATACGAACACGGACTATCTAATAACATCAGAAGTTAATGAGACAAGGGAGTTTGACTCATATTTGGTACTGATTTCACTACATTTTTGTTGTATGAGTTCGATGTGAATAACAATACAAATGTATACAAACATAAGCTTCTTTTGTTCACTGGTCCTTATTCTATCTTCCGGTAGTATTAGAAAACCGCGTAGCTTCCTTCGTTTTGACATAAATCATACTTTTGCACGACATGGTTTTCACGTTATTTACTGTCATGTGGCTTTGCCAAACCGCAAATTCTCATGCACAGCAACTCGGAGGCGCGGCAGGGAATTTACGCCGTATAGTCTAGCCGAGTGCAGAAAATGCGCTTAGAAATTAAGTTTCGTTGTGCCCATGCTGGGTTTAAAAATTAAAACTATTTTACATTTAAACTATAGTTAGAATGCCTTGTTTTTATGGTTGAATCCAGCAGTTTTTTTTTAAATAAACGCTGCGCTGGTAAAATATCTGAACTACTTCACCCGCGGAGAAATGACGTGTATGAATCTTAGCGAGTAAATTGACGCTCCAGCTGATTGTAGCTTTTTGCACGTGTTTTGCATAGCAACCGTTACTGTGCAATTGCAGGCAAACGCATGTGTTTACACCTTACTTATCATCACCAATAGTATGTGATAAAGGCGAGAGTTAACGTCGTCATCACCCGGCTTTGTTAGCCGAACAAAAACTTCTTCGCGAGATAACGTCCGGGAGACACGATCTCTGCCGTGCCTCCTTCGAGTTGCTGTGCATGAGAATTTGCGTCTTGGCCTCGCCACACGACAGTAAATAACGTGAAAACCATGTCGTGCAAAAGTACGATTTATGTCAAAACGAAGGAAGCTACAGGTTAATACTACCAGAAGATAAGGACCAGTAAACAAAAAAAAGCTCTTGTTTGTATACATTTGTATTTTTATTCAAATCGAACTCGTATGACAAAAATGTAGTGAAATCAGTACCAAATCCGTGTCAAACTCCTTTGTCTCATTAACTCCTGATAACATGTATAACCGTTATTCTGTATAGGCCGTTATCTGTGAAAAACATAAATGACCATCTATCGAAAAATATCGTGACATTTACACGGCACCACACTTTTATTTTACACTTATTTATTTTAGTCTCAAAAGTTTGGCAATATGGCAGTCACAACTCTTTACGATGTTTCGCCGATTCATGAACAGGGATCCCCCTTGTTCAAAATTTCCAAATTTTGTTGTACGAAATATTCAACGTAGCACTGACCTGTAGGCACATGACCTCGTCACTGGCGTCGCCACAGTCGTTGACGTTGTTGCAGACGTTGTAGATGGGAATGCAGTGACCGTTGCGGCACGCAAAGTGCATCGGGCCGCACGTGCCCTGCTCTGTAACAGCCGAACACCACCAGGGGGCATTGTCATAGGGCTTTCGATCTTAATCTACCAGGGAGATTTATCAGAGAGGACTTTTAATCTTAACCCATAAGGTGGCCGTTGTCGGAAACGGTTTAATATTAACATTAGTCATAACACTTTCCGTTCAAGTTCAACGTTGAAGCAAAGCATTTGCGCTTCGGAAAGTTACTAGAATAAAAAAATCCAAGCAATCTTTGTCCCAATGTTACATGACAAGAACACTTGCCTCCTAATATATATATATAATATATATATACACACATATATATATATTTTTTTTTTATATGTACACATATTTATCATTATTTTTGTTTATCACCAACAGGGGGAGCCACGTACCGCAGTTCTCCTCGTCTGACACGTCGTCTGCACCGCAGTCTGGCTCCCGGTCGCATCGCCACGAGCTCGGTATGCAACGGCCGCTCTCCGTACACAGGAAGTGACTCGGGCTGCACGTCGTATCTGTGCGACGGAGCGGCGAGCAAAGAGTTAAACGCGTCTGCAAGAGGGGAGCCACGCGCCGCCACGGGAACTGATCGCGAGTTTGCGATTACTGCCAAGCAACTTGATCGCCAGTACGACAGGAAAGTATTCAAAACGTGCGGTGAAGTTTAGGAGACGTTGCAGTGCCATTAACGAGCAGAAAATGAGATGTCGCGCGACCGTGCAGACAAATTACGACTAATTACCAAGTAACAAATTAATTAACAAGTAATGGCTAACTAAACAACAACAATAATAAAGGCATGCATGCACGTGCAAGCACAAAATTATTTTTCGAGAAGATTGAGTATGATATATCATAATATATATATATATCAATATAATATCATAATTATTATATATACTCATATCATAAGAAATTGAAAGTAGAATCTTTGCAGTAATAACAGAGCCATGTTGCGAAATCATGCAGAACAAAGCAGTAACATTGCAGACCCGTAGGAGGTGGGGGGTAGGTTCAGGCAGGTTTAAACAGGAACAACACCACTCTTCTTCTTTTTACAATTTTCCCCCGCGGCAAAACACATCGCGCGTTTACATTTGTCACACTTTCAGGCAGTGCTGTCCTCGTACGAAAACAGACAGACCCAGGGTAAAAAATACACGGGAGCGATGACCGATTTGCTCTTCAAACCTCCGAAATCGCTCTTGTGAGGCTCAGAATAGCTCCCGTAAAAATTTTGACAAGAGCTATTTTTCCCACAGACTTGAAAAAAAGCTCCTGTGAAAAAAAAGTAATTTTTCCCCTGGACAGACCCCTTACCAGAAGACCCAGCGGGTACCCCTTACAGGCCTCACTGAGATCACCCAGCTACGGGCCTGCTAGCAAGATTCTACTTCTAAACCGATGTAAGCGGGGCTCGGCGAAACCAACGTCGTAAGCTAGTGTACTATAAGCTTTCCTTGCAGCACTCGCACACGTCATCACTTATAGCAGGGTGCGAAATTAACGTCGTTGTTTTTTGAAACTTCATTGATTTTTTTATTGATTTTTTCATTTAACTTTAGATTTTTTTCTTGAAATTTGATTTGATTTTTTTTTATTTGATTTTGAAATTTTGAAATATCTCCAGGGTGCGAAATTAACGGGAGTCCGGAGTAAAATACTCCCCGATTTACTGTTGGACTCCCCGATTTGATTATGCAGGAGTCCGTGTGAAAATTCTGCTATACTATTAAACTAGTTAGTTTCAGAGCACGGCCTCGCAGAATTACCATATTTTTTCAGCAAATGTCCAAAGAAAATTCGGCAGACGTGCAACTGCATGAATCTTAAAAATAAGCAGATGCGTTATTGTTAATATCTTTAGTTTTGAACTTCACACTGCGGACTCCCTCATTTTGCCGCGGACTCCCTCTTTTTGAGAGGAGTCCCTTGGAGTCCCAAGGGAGTCGCTTGGACTCCCTTGTTCAAAAGTTAATTTCTACCCCTGCTTATAGTGTGTGACAAACCGAACTGACAAGCAGCGAGTGAGAGATTCCGGAGCCCGTTGTCAGAAACAAAATAACCAGTCACAAGTCTTAACACTAGTCTTAACATTGATTTTTTTTTCGCTGATTGAACCTCTGTAAGCTGCTGAGAAACTGACTTCGAAAACTATGCGAACTTCACCACGTTTCAGTTTCAGTACTACAAACAGTCTGTAGAGAAGTAGTTAACAGCTTGTAAACAGTCTAAGAGATAAAGTTAACATTGAAACCATTAACCATGAAAATTCAATTATGTAAACTTCACCGCGTTTCTGTAAACGGTCTACGAGAAAAAAGTCCATGTTAAAACTAACGTTAAGACTAATTTTGTTTCGGACAACGGGTCCCTGCGCGCTACTCAACAACTCTGATATGATCTTATTCGTCTCAATGACCATACTGCAGCTAAAACCCTGCAAAACTCCTCTTAACTTCTGCCGTACATCCATCTCGCGGTGTACCGAGGAAAGGGAAGAGGAAAGGCTTTCATAGGGAGGCGGGCATAAGCTAAGCAAAGTCACACGTCTTACCAACCACAGCACAGCTTACCGGATGAAAGAACATCTGAAATGACAGCGGTTACGTTCGAGCTAAGGGTTAATCGACAACAGGAAATAAAAAATGCAGAGCATCGCAAACATGTGATAATTGTAAAATGGCGATCATTTCATAATTACTACGTGTTCGTGATGAGTAATTAACAAGTGATAAGTGATTAATTATTAAACATAATAGTTTGAACTGTGGTAGAAAATGGATGGAAAATGTGATGAGTACACGACATTTTCTAAACCGTAAGTGCAAACTAATTGCTGATACATCTCATACATCCATGCAAATGCAAACGTAGAAATGTGTCCCAAATTAACACACGATAACAAAAAACAAAAAACAAAATACACGTAATAAATAATCCACTCTACGTACAAATGTGAACACTTGTTACCCATACGTATTAATAGAGCCACCTGTCTTCAAAGACCATTTATATTTCCACCCTTCCCCAGTATAAAATTCATAATCCCAATTACTAAAAAACTTTTATAAGAGTAAAAACTGTTTGATTTTAAAGTCAACCTGCTGGTCTTCAGAGGCAGGTTCTGCTAATAGATTAATTAGACATTAAAATAGACAGCATTACGAATAGAGTCATCCAGCTAATAAAATAGCCGGCATTCTATCAGTAGTATTAAACGTAAGAACAGTACACGATGCATAGACACATCAGTGCCACCATGAACTAAATCTATACTAGATACGTACGGATGTAGTGTAGATATGTTCATGGTGCCACTAATAAACATACACGAGGTAACAAGATTGTTAAAATTATCTACAAAAAGAACGTGAGGAGGAAATAGTGACTGGGATAATTGCTCTTCATTCTGGAGGAGGGAAGAAGAGGAGGAGAAGGGAGTAGCAGGTGAGAGAGAGCAGCGGTGGAGGAGGAACAAGAAAAGGAGAAGGAAGAGAATACAGGGCGAGGAGGAAAGAGAAGAAGAGGAGGATGAGGATAAGAGTAAGGAGGAAGAAGAGCATAAGGGTGAGGAGCAGGAGGGAGGTGGAGGAGCAGGAGGAAGGAGGAGGAGGAGGAAGATGAAAAGAATGAGGATGCGGAGGAGGAGGAAGGAGGAGGAGACTCACTGCTGCACAGCTGTGGATCCTCATCTTCTCCGTGTTTACAGTCTTCGTCTCCATCGCAGCGCCAGTGTAGCGGGATGCAGCGGTTGTCATTACACTTGAAGTGCTCCAGCGTGCACTTATGATCGACTGCAATCACACAAACGCACCTTATATGATACTATTATCGTTAATATTATTGTTATTTTTATGTTTTGTTATTTTATTATTTTATTAAATTTTTATTATAATTTTAATTTAAATTAATAACATTATTTTATTTTGTTATTTTTATTATGATTACACATTTATGTGACTCCTGTTATTATTATTGATACATTCGTTATTACTATGTTATTACACTACAGTGTGGTCGTACAGAGTGCTCAAGCGTTCACTTGTGGTTGACTGTAGTGGCGTGAACGTAATAACTGTTATCATTATTTTTATTATTATTACTAGGTTATTATTGCTCGGTGTGGTCAAGTGTTCCAGCGTAGAACTATGGTCGACTAGACTACAGTCGCACGAGCGCACATTATTATTATTATTATTATTATTATTGCTGCTGCTGTTGCCGCTGCTGCTGCTAATGCTGCTGCTACTGCTAATGCTACTGCTACTACTACTGCTATGCTAGTGGCTACTGCTTTCTAGTACGGCAATCAGACGGGAAAAGAGACAGTAGGAAGAAAGGAAAGGTAATATTATTCATGCACTACACATTACTACGATTATTTTCACAGAATACTTATTAAAAAAAAAGATTTCCCACACAACCTCCGACGACCCATCGCTGCGAGCGCACGGCGACACCGTCTCAAATCTTCGCGTTAACGCGCGCCGCTCGCCGGTGGCGCCACCTACCGCACGGCCGCCGGCGGTCGTGTCCTCGTCGGAGTTGTCGCCGCAGTCGTTGTCGCCGTCGCAGACGTAGCGCGCGGGGATGCAGTAGTGACTCTTCTTGCACTCGTACTCGCTCTCCTCGCATCGCGACGACGCCGTGGGCGCGGCTTAGCCGTGTCCACTGCAACGATCCGCGGTATAACGTGTACTGCGCGTGCATAGCGTGCGTGCGTGTGTGTGTGTGTATATATATATATATGTGCGTATGTACGGCGTAATAACAGATGAAGTGGTTACAGGTGCATGAATAGTACTTTAGTATTTATAGTTAAAATGACGCACCGTACAAAAACATATACGTGTATATATATATATATATATAATATATATACATATATATACATATATATATATATATAGAATGTAACCTAAGCAAAATATTTATAGTATTTATAAATTGTATAATATACACATATAACATGTAAGTACAAACATGCACATTTCCATTGAAACAATGCATGTTAACACGCGCACAAACACCTAATACGTGTAAAATACATGTAATATAACGTTAATAGATGTTGCACCGAGTCCCGTTCTCACCTGTGCATGTCTTGCCATCTGTGTTCAGCACGGCGTTATCAGGACAGGAACACGTCGTGCCATCCGGCGTCGCCAGACACAAGTACTCACATCCACCGTACTTGTCACCACACGCGTTGCTACCTGAAAACACGATGAACCCCGCACACGATGCAAACGTCGCCGTCGTGGGTTTTTTCAAGACAGTATCCAAATTTCCAAATTTTAAAATCCCAAAAAAAAATCAAATCAAATTTCAAAAAAAAATATAATAAATTACATGAAAAAAATAAAAATCCAAAAAAAATTCCTGTTTCAAATATATTCGCTGTTCTTTTCTTTAGTGATTAGCTATAGTTATCAATTATATATTACGTATTATTAATTATTTTTTATTATTAGAGAACAAATGCTCCAAAGCAAATGTAATTCCATTTCAGACAAGACAGACATGTACTCAATTTCAAGGATAGGATTTTGAGGGATCGTAAACACGTATCTCATACAGCGGTGCCCTCTACCTACACTCCCCGGCCTCCCGGCGCTGCCAGGCTGGGTCGTACAGACGCGTATGCTCGCATACAGCATGCGCCCTCTAACCTACACTCACCGACACTGCCAGCTTGGTCGTAGATGCGTATCTCATACAGCGGCGCCCTCTACCTAACCACCGGCTGCACTGGGGTCGTACACGCGATCTCATAGAGCGCCCTCGTAAACCTACACTCACCGGCTGCAGCTTGGGTCGTAGATGCGTAATCTCATAGGAGCGGCCCTATCTACCGCTACAACCACCGACCTTCAGCGTGGGGTCGTACACAGCCGGTATTCATAGAGCGCCCTCTACCTACACTCACCGGCCTGCAGCTTGGGGTCGTAGACGCGTATCTCATAGAGCGCCCTCTACCTACACTCACCGGCCTGCAGCTTGGGGTCGTACAACCCGTATCTCGATACAGCGCGCCCTCTACCGTACACTCACCGGCCCGTGCAGCTTGGGTCGTAGATGCGTACTCAATACAGCGCGCGCGCCCTCTACCGGACGTACACTCACCGGCCTGCAGCTTGGGGTCGTAGATGCGTATCTCATAGAGCGCCCTCTACCTACACTCACCGGCCTGCAGCTTGGGGTCGTAGATGCGTATCTCATACAGCATGGGGCTTTCCTCCCGGAACACGTCCACGGATCCGTTGAGCAGGTTAAGTCGCATGATCTTGCCGTCGCGGAACTCCGTCCACAGGATGAACGTGTCGAAGACGGCGAGGCCGTACGGATGCTGCAGTGCGGCGCCCGAGTAGACGACCTGCGATAACGAAGCCATCGTTAACAACGACGATGAGGTAGTGTGTACGTGCGTGGTTGCGTGTGCGTGCGTGCGTGCGTGCGTGCGTGCGTGAGTGCGTGTAAAGACAGCGAGGCCGTATGGATGCTGCAGGGCTGCGCCCGAATAGACGACCTGCGATAACGAAGCTAACGATGCGGTCATGTGTGCGTGTGCGTGCGCGTTAAGATGGCGAAATCGTACGGATGCTGCAGGGCCGCGCCGGAATAGACGACCTGCGATAACGAAGCAATCGTTAACGATGAGGTCATGTGTGTATGTGCGTGCATGCGTGCGTGTGTGCGTGCGTGTGTGCATGTGTGTGTGTGTGCGTGCGTGCATGTGTGCGTTCGCGTGTGAAGATCATTTCATGTCGTATCTTCTATCAATGTCAGCATACATTTTCATTTACACCTAATTACGCATAATCAATGCACGTACCTACAGTATCTACTTATCACATTACCCACTCACTAGTAGAACCTAATTAGTTAACACTTAATAGTTGAAAGTC